AATTGTTCAAAGTAGATCAGAATGCAATTTAATGGGTTGTTTTGTCGTTATGGTTCATTTGCTCCGTGCACACAATGTTTTGTCTACAAATGAAACAAAATCAACTATGTGGTAGAGAAGATATACTGTTAAAACATCTAAAGACACTTTAAGCATCACAAATAGGATTTAATGTAATCCTGATGTGCTGCACTCACACAAGATGACAGAGGCCTCTCCTTCACCTGAGCTCATTGCCACTCCAGTGATTATCCTACAGAGTTCGGCCAGAAGGTCAAAGATCCTCTGTCACCACTTCAATAAAGGCCTGAGCAGCAAAGTGATGGATGCATGTTATCTCCATTATGATGATCTCAGCCCGCTGGTCATAACCTTGATGCATAGAAAACAAGGTCACACACAATACATGCACACAATCGTGCCATACATGCATACAGACAGACCGACAGTTGACTGTTAGATGCACACACAGCGATACAATAACATCCCTCTTCTTAATCGGTCATAAAACTGCCAGTTATTCTGCAAATTAAACAGGAGCTATACAGCGTTTCTTCCCATCCTGAACACAAAAGGCATCCAGATTTCAATCGATGTGACAGTGACTGTGAGAGAAACTGCACACGCACACACACACACACACACATACAAAGTCACAGAATCATTCAGGACTCTCGCTCTTATCAGAAACAATTAACATTTAAAAGGGACGTTGCTACAAATTGCCATTTCATTAATTAGGACTGCAAGAAGCCTACATTACAAGTAATCTTTCAATAACAAAGTAGCTACAGGGGACAGCATAATAATGAGGACTGGAAATTATTTTTCACAGGCTGAGGAAAATGAAAAGATAATCTAATGAAAGACTTTTAGCCATGCTGCTGGATACGGCTTTACGGATGGCAGTATTGGTCTGTCTCTAAGTCCATCACTTTGGTCCAAACTGACATATCTGGACAATTATTTGACAGATTGACATTAAATGGCTCACAGACATTCCTGTTCTCGGCGGGCTGAACTGTAATAACTAACTGACTTTTCTTTAGTGGCATCATCAGATCAAAATTTTGTTTTCTTTAATTCTTTTACCTGCAAATGTACTAACACTCTAATCAGCCTCAACTGTAGGGGAGAACGGGGTCGGTCGTCACAGTTTTCACTTTTATTTAAAATCCTAAATAGATTCCCTTTTAATGTGTAATGGAAGCCTTAAGTGTCAGGTAGGAATATAGTGACCTTAATCTCCTGAAGCTTACTCTGTTTAAAAGATATGGATTGTCAAATATGTCTTGTGCACTTGTGACAACCATCCCCATGGTGAGGTACCTAACCAGCTCAGGCACTAAGAGAACATAAGCAGGAAATATCATTCCTATTAGTGCATTTTTCATACTTATAAACAATGCAAAGAACAAAACAAAGAACATGTGACAGGCAACCTTGAAGAGAATGTGACAAACATTCCCAATTGTCAGTTGTCAGACTAAGCTAACAACCGGCAACAACTGTTTTAGCCTAGCTAAGGAAAAAAACTAACAAGTCCAAACTATAGCTCTCTGATCATACTTTTAAATGGTAATGATTGTTTCATTTAAAGCTACTCTTACCTTTCTTGCATCCACATCCACAACTCCCACCTCCCTCCAAAGTCCCCCTCCAAAGAGCGGTTACGTCAGTCGGAGGCCTCCATGTGGGGATTCGGTCCGAATGCAATGATTAGTCAGAGTTTTCTTAGAACCATATGACAATGGTACAATTATGAGTTTTAATCTCTGGTGGAATTCACTTACATTTTAGTGTGCCATCAACTTATTAATAGCATATTAATAGGTAAGTGTCGCTTTAATTAGGATTTATTAAAGAAAGGTTTCAAGGTAAACAATGTGAGACCGCAGTTTCCATTTTCATTTAAGAAAAACAGAGCAAATACAACAGATAGCATCGGACATAAACAAACACACAAAAAGTACACACACATATGCTCCTCCTTCTTCCTCGGGGATGTCAAAATTATTTTTTTTAGCTGCAATCAAACCATAATAAAGAAGCCGCTGCTGCTGTGTTCTATTTAATGCAGGTGCTGAATCTAAAATTCCCAGTATAATTAACATGGATGTAAAGAATATCAGAGATTATTTAAGATATTTTTAATCTATTATCTCTAAATCTTTGGACAGAGAGCAGAGCTATGGAGGAGATGTATTTTTTTCATTATAAACCACTTGTGTAAAAGCCTAGAAGAGAAACACAGATGAGCCTGATATTTAGATTTTGACATGAAAAACATTCAATGCCAAGTGTTTTACTCCTGAAATGCCCCTGTAGATGACCTCTGACCCCAATTCTGAAAGTTTCAAAATTGTTAGCACTGCACCCTGGCATGATAGCATGCCAAAGTGAAGTGGTAAACGTTTACCTGCTAAACCTTAGCATGTTAGCATTGTCATTGTGTGCACGTTAGCATGCTGACGTTCACTGTGCCTAAGTATAGTTTCACAGACTCACTAACAGGCTGGAAACTCTTATTTTCATTTTTTGGTATGAAACAGAACAATGGCCGTTGTGAAGTCATAACTACGATAGGCTATTCTTTCCTTTTAGGAGGTATGAGATGAGACAGTGAGCTGAAGTGCTAATCTCCTGCATGTTAGCCGAATTTCCCAGGACTGCTGAGTTGCCTTTACAAATCTGTGGGCCAGTTGACAGAGAGTGCAGCAGTAGGACTCAAGAAGGAGTTTGTGTGATTTTCAAGGATTTTTTTGCCCGCATTTAGGGGATTTAGTCAATTGGTCAGAAGGCTGAAATATAATCCCATGGGCTAAACACAAGTAGAGTATCACAGTTTGAGGTTTTCCCTTAAGGACATTAACGCTGCACAAGATGACACAAATATAGCTGAAGTGTCTGTACGGAGCAGCTGTGGGTTTCTACAAGGTCTGTTTTTGAATGTTCTTGTTCTGTGTGTGTTCACACAGATCTGTATGTGAAGTTAGCGTGCCCTATATGTTGCTTTTAAGTAGACCCCTCCAGGCACAGATACAGCACTCATTTTCTTTGTTTACTGTAAATCATTATTCACTAACACACATGTGTGAGTGTGTGCACACCCACAGGCAGCGCGCTATAACTCCTTTAAGCTTGAAGTCAATAAACAATAAACATGGATATTCAGCATACCTCAGCCATCAATCTGTGCTCAATGAAAGCTGCAGATTTATGTCACCGATACGATTCAGGCCATGTGGAGGTCAGTGGAGAGAGAGAACAGAAAAATCCAGAGGAGGGAAAAGAATCATGTGCTTGAGAGAAAACAATATAAATATCATTCACTTGGATGTGAACATGTATTTCAAGGGCATAAAATCCATCTGTGTGTATTAAAACAATAATGTCTTGCTTAGCTGATATAGACGTGCTGCTTGCTTGTCTGAAAGATCCCTCACACCACAATAATGATAAGAACTGTTTTTTCTCTTATCTGTGATTTCAATATGCCGCTCCACACATGCATGAATGGGTGACTACATAGAGAAATAAATAATGCTTCAGTAGTGCAATACTGCCCCCTGGCAGTGTTTGCAAGTACAAATGAGACTAAAGAGGCAGCGACACTGTGATTTGTTATCTACAGTTTTTCTCAATTGTTTGGACACATTTATTCATTCAGAAGAATTTTCATAGCAGTTCAGATACAGGCATAAACTGAAAGCCATTGATTTGCAAAATGCTCTCACACTAACAAGAAACTAAACACATGCAACAAAAGCAAATATTTCCTTCACACAACACAACTTGTGGTCAAATAATTGCATTCTTTCAATCAATCATTACATAGTGGACAACAAAATATAAAATACAGTTGTCAATATGAGCCTTAATTTGTCTTATATGCCCGCATCATTTGTCGATACTTTGCATAGTTACTGTATAGCAAGCACAAAAAGCAAGCAAGCATATCACAACATGAATTGTATTCTCTCCTCCAAAGATGATTTTACAAGAGATACCAAACCCTGCCAGTCTGCAGCAGCACTTTTTACACCTTTTGAGATGCCCTGTTGAAACACTGTAAAAGAAACATCTTCTAAGAAAGTTTTCTTGATCCACTTTATTCTTATTATTATTTATTCTTATTCTTATATCTACAGTTTTTTGTTTGACACGTAACTGTCGTTGACATGTAATACTTGCATCGAGCACCTAGAGTATAGTGCAGCTTTTGTGCCGCATTATTTACTTACAAAAGAACAAATAAAAAATGTTACCCAACCTCAGAAATACTCAGAAACATTTTTTTATTGTAGTCAATCAGAATTTTTTCATGTCATTCTTTTTGGCTGGACTGCTATAGCAATACAGGGTTTTACCCATCTTGTCTTCATATTTTTCAAACTCAGAAATGCTTAATAACGGTCTCTTCCTCTCCTTACTTTTTCTTCCTTGATCCATGATTGCAAATAGCAACACAGAGGTGGCATCTTTTATAGATGGATACAAACTGACCGCTGATTAAAGAGTTGTTTGAAAGAGTTTTTCACAGGTGCATCAGAGATTCATAACTGTGCACGTACTTTGTGTCAGCTGTGAATAGATCTTTTCCTTTTGTTTAACACAGTTAATCCAACAGAGTTTGGGGTCTTTCTAGCTGTTTTGAAAAAGGGTTTGTAAAATGTGTGACACCAGTCAAATACTGGTAACACATCTGCACGAGAAGACTTCTGCTGTGCTGACAAGGTGATGATGAAGATCAAGTGGATCCCAGTTTTGTGAAGCATGTTTTAGCAATCCAGAAAAAAATGTTATATACTATAAATATATTATTGACATACATGATTAATTTAAATGGTAAATGGAAAATGGACCTGTATTTGTATAGCACCTTCTAGTCATCTGACCACTCAAAGCGCTTTTTACACTACGAGTCACATTCTCCCATTCACACACACATTCACACACTGGTGGCAGAGGCTACCAAACAAGGTGCCACCTGCTACTCAATTTTTAACACACTCACACACCGATGGAACAGCCATCGGGGGCAATCTGGGGTTCAGTATCTTGCTCAAGGATACCTCTACGGATACACATCCTATACATACATAACAATTAAAAACCTAACAATACATTCCTCTCTTCGCCTGAAGTCAGACAGTGGATTCAAAGATCCAGACACAGGCAGGTCTTCTCTTTAATATTACATAATTGTCCATTAACAATCCATTTAAGTCCAATATTTATGTATCACACACACAGAAATATTACATTCTCACATAGTGAATATATATTTTGTATCCAGGTCGTGGATGACCTTTGAAGGATCATATATACAACTAAAACCACCTTTACAAATGCAACTTTCAGTTGTGCAAAAAAAAAAAAAAAACGCTGTGAAGTCACAGTGAAGCAGTGGCTGCAGATAGTGTAGTGGTGATATTGGTGTGAAGATCAGAATTTGTTGCAAAGCTCCATGACTGCGATGGTTGTGCTCTGTCCAAAGATGAAGGCTCCAACTACAACAGTTATGACTCCCCAAACTGATAAAATCACCCTGTAAAGATCAAAGGACATCAAGAGAAACACCAGTACAGACAATATACATTTTCAACTTTAATTAATAGTCATTAATCATCATTTCCATTATTAAAGCATCCTCATGTTAAAACACAATGGATCAAATCAGCTCTGGAAATGAATGCCCTCGAGACCTCTTTTTTTCTGGAAAGACAAACATTTCAGTTCTACAAAATAAGAAACACTTTTCTTTCCTTCTTGGGAGACAATGCAAACCGTGCTCTAAAAGTAGGACTCTGTGGACTGACTAAGGCAGATTGCTTCTTGCTTGCTACTTTTGTAACTGTCACTCTCCACGTCGTGACCTCATGGTCATGTTTGTATGACCAGCTGCAGGATTTTATTTGGAACATGGCTCTGCTTTATTCAGTGATTTTTACTGGTTTTAATCACCTTGTCCATTTGTTTTGGAGAGAAAGAGACGTCTGTGGATAATTCAGCTGCTGGTAAAAACCTTCTTAACAAAGAACACTGAAGGGAGAGGTTTCAGCTTGTTGCAATCTGCAATGCTCTCCTCACACTGGACCTTCAGGTTTGTAATTTCCTAACAATTTCCTAGGAATGTTCCTGGAGAAAAAGAACTAGTTTGGTTCTAATTAAAGGATAAAGAGGAATTCCTTCAAAGAAAATCTCAATTTAAACCCAAATTAATATTCATTCATAATTCAGTCACTATCTGAAACTTAATTCTACATAAATGTTAAATTGTATGTTTGCCTGTAAACAAATTCATGTTGAGTTGACCTGTTGACCTGATGCTAAGTTGCTCTCAAGTGACTTAAAGACTCTCTAGGTTACACTAGCAATTGGAATTCATTGAAAGTGAACCAGCTGAACACCAATTGTCTGTATTTTCCCTGTAAGTAGTCCCATATTTCAGGATTGTTTCCAGGAAATGTATTGAAAATTATTAGGAAAGAATTCAGAAAATGATGGACTTGTATAACAAAGCATCTTGATAATTATCTCATGTGTGTCTGTAAGTGCACACTCACCTGACTCTTGGATTCACAGGTTCAGTTTGCATTGTGAACATTAAGCAAAGACCTGCAACACACAAACACACACACCACCGGGGTTACATTACTGAGTCACATGTGTAGCTATCAAACGATGTATTCTATAAAGGTTAGTTCAACTCAAAGTGATTTACAGGAGACTGACAAGTTAATATGATACAACAAATAAAAATCATGTAAAAATACAAAGCCATACATTGCTCATTAAGTCACAGACATGTACATACACAGATTAAAAGTTAAGGTTGTTTACATACCAGGAAAAATAAAGATGAAGAAGGCGCTGATTCCTCCAATGACACTGATGACCTCACCCATGTCCGGGACAAACATGGCGATGAGAAGAGTGATGGTGATCCAGATCACAGTGAGAACAACTCTGCAGCGACTCTCAAATGAATGAGTGACGATTCCTCGACGACGTCTTTGAACACGCAGCAGCAGGTTCAGGATGACAGATCTGACACAGACAACATGTTAGGTGTTGAAACACACGCAACAACTCAAAATATACAGAAAAGGCAACTTTGGTGTCTCTCACCTTCCCAGAAGAAGAATAATAGGATAAATGGTGATAATCGATATTCCAAAAAGTAATCTGGAAATGATCATGACCACATCATTTCCTGGATATGACATCAAAATATCAGAGGCAACCGCTCGTCCAAACGTCATGAAGCCGAACACACCTGGAGATGGAGAGATTGGATGTGATGAGCAGCCTTCAGGTAAGAACACAATGCACTGAGGTTGACACTTTAGAACTGAACTCACCGGTTAGAGTGTAGATGAGTAAACAGAAAAACATGGAGAGTACAGAAATGATCACCCAGTGCAAGAGCTTTTGGTTCTCCATGCTGCTGTAGATGGCGATACAGGCTTCATGGCACTGCCGACACACACAGGCACACACTGATTATTGAGATCAGTTTTTAGTTATCCAAAGTCCTGCCTGCTTTTTTTGTAATTTAATGAGAGTATCATGAACACTGGGTAAATTAGTTAGCATATCTCAATACATGGAATCCCTTTATTGACATCTTCTACTACTGTTTCTAAAATTAGGGCTGCACAATATGACGAAAATATGTGAATTGCAATAACATTGTTGAACATGGCTTTGATGATATTACATGAAATAAATAAACAGATATTAAAGTTATGGGTGGATTATAAGACACAGTGGGATTTAGCTACGTACAACATGTTCCTGGATCAACATCCCACACTGCAATCCTGGACAAGCACTGCAATCAATCAATCACTGTTCTCTGACGTCATCAGTGCGCTGCCTCTGTGCGTTTTTCAAAATTCCTTTGTGCTCATTTCGAGCTAAGATAAGTTTTCCAAATTGAATTTAGTACAATTGAACAAAATCCTCAGTAACACTGTAGGGTTATCGAGTTAGCTTGCTAACTATAGGCTATGCTAACACATAAGCTTGCCAATAGGCAACATTGTCAAAATTTGGTTCCAATGTCGGAGCCATTTTGGCTTTAAACATACACTCAGTCTTGCTCCCATCACTTCAAATCCTTTTTTCCCTCTGGCCCTCATGGACCTAGCGTTCAAATTATGGCACAGAGAGGGCACAGTTTTCATAAGGACCTTTTTGTAAATAATTCATTCATCTCTTTTGATGCTTTAATTCAAAAAATGACATTCCTTGATCTTATTTCAGCTTTTTACAGGTTTGTAGTTTATCATTACACAGAACACAACGTCACCCCTCCTCCCACCAAACTGCCCCCTTGAGGAATGTTTACAGTCTGAGTCAAACCTTAAAGGACAGATTTCTAAAGTATATGATCTAATCCAGCACATAAATCCTCCATCACTAACCAGGACAAAAGATGCCTGGGAACAAGACCTTAGGACGAGGATGACTATCCCCGACAACATCTGGAATCTCAGCATTAGTCACATTTATTTCTCATCCATTTGAATCAGTTACTGCCTGCTGCAGTTCAAGCTCTGTCACCATCTCTATTTCACTAAAGCTAAACTGTCAAAAGTGTTCTCCATGTTTGATGACAGTTGTCCTAGATGCAAACAATCTCCTGTCACAATGAGACACATGTTCTGGTCATGCAACTCATTACGTAACTTCTGGACGTCTATATTTGAGGTATACTCATATATTTGCAAGAAAACAATAGATCCTGAACCATTTAGAGCACTATTTGGCATACCTCTAACATGACAGGGTTTTTACTTAATACTAATCGAATGTGATTGCATTTAAGTCATTGTTAGCACAAAGGCTTGTTCTTTTGAAATGGAAGGCTACCTGCACTACCTCTTGAAGCTCATGGAGAGAATGCCAAGAGTGTGCAAAGCAGTAATCAGAGCAAAGGGTGGCTATTTTGAAGAAACTAGAATATAAAACATGTTTTCAGTTATTTCACCTTTTTTTGTTAAGTACATAACTCCACATGTGTTCTCATAGTTTTGATGCCTTCAGTGAGAATCTACAATGTAAATAGTCATGAAAATAAAGAAAACACATTGAATGAGAAGGTGTGTCCAAACTTTTGGCCTGTACTGTACATAGGGTCAAGGAAGTCATGATGTGTCTTTAAATAGAGAAGCTAGGATTTTCCATTACATTTCTCTGTGCTTTTTTATTTGGAAGATGTTAACTCCATAATGCCAAACATATAAAGCCTTTAATTTACTACAGTGAAAACTTAACTTCACTTGTTCATACTACTCTCACACTTAAAATCCTGAGTGTGATCTTACCTGGAAGCCAAAGCAGATGGTCGGCACCACACTGAACATTGAAGCCCACGAACTCACACTGACAAACACACACAGACAATAACTGATGAGTACAAAACAACAGCCAATGATAAACACACACGTGTGCACCCATTAATAACAGCGTCACTCACCCTTGGCTGTGCTCTGGAGTTATTATAACAGTGTGGCTCTCCATCAGGTAATATTTGACAATCACAGCCACACACAGATACGTAGCAGCCAGCGTCCCCAGCACACTGATGTGAGGAGAAAATGGTTAGATCACATCAAAGTTTACACTCAGCTGGATGTCATTCTGAGCACAGATAAGTGTTGTGTACCTTGTGTATTTCTGGATGCCGATTTCTTTTGGGATGGAAAGGGGTAGGATGATGAAGAGGCACATGATGAAGAGGGCAAATCGTTGGTCAGTGTACCAGTGATACGGCATCTCTCCCTCGACAGACCCAGTGACTGTCTCATATAAAGAAATACACACTGGAAGAAGAACAAGTCAAAATCAGACTCATTATTCATCTGCTGCAATAAAGACATGAGAATAACAGTAATATAACTGTTTTAGTATGCACGCTCACTGTATCCTTTACAAGCTCATTGACATCTGCATCCTGCTTATCAATATGGTTTATGTTGTTTTAATGGCTGCAACATACATACTTCAACCTTGGTGGATGTACATACAGAATAATTAAAACAGAACATTTATGTATATGAAGCACTTTATGTCACTACAGTAAAGTGCTCCATCTGCACTGTGCTCTGCAGAATTGGAAATGGATTTTTTGTATTTTTGGTGGTGGTGGTGTGTCTGTAAATCCAATCAAATGCTCTGTTTAAAATTGGAACAGAGCAAAAACATTAAAGGGATTTGAATCATTTCAGATGGACAAAACGGCAGGGAGACAAAAGATAAAAAATAAAAGGGTAGCATTACTGCTCCCAGTCATATGTTTTTACCCTAATACTGGCTAGAATGAAAATTAAAGTGCAGATGATTTGTGGTCGGAAAGAGATTAATTTTTTGATATGGGAAATGGCTGCCAAATTGATCAGAAACTCAGACGAATACTTTGACAACATGAAAACATTATAACATTGTGCCATAATACAGACGCAAATATCTTTATTATTTATGACAGGTGATAGTGCCCGAAAAGCTGTGTAGTGTCCATTTGGACAAAAGTTTAGGGACCATAGTTCTTGTTAAGAGAAAGACAAACCCAAGTCTTTCACAGTGTAACAGGGAAAAGGACATTGAGATTGTATGAAGTGGTTAGTTGTATAACTGACAAACATTCAAACACACTTATTCAATGTCTCTCCTGCCTCCGACACTAAGGTCTCTGCAGGGTTCACATAGTTAAACTCAAAACTTTTTCATACCACATAGAATGCAATCTAATACCTGTTTAACGATCATAGTGTTCAAAGTATAAAAGTATGATGGAAAACCAGTCGGGACAATATGGCCCAGAGTTATTAATTATTATATAACAGCCAATACAATAATTCCTAATGATGTAATCAATCATGTTAATGGACACAGATAATCAGCAATACATGGATGGATTAATTAGCCAATTAAAAATAATTCATTAACTTGAAGTTTAATTATTTTTTTAGCTAAAATTGACACTTGCCCATTATGAGACCTTAACTTCTTAGCTCCTGTAGCTACTGATGTTTGCTGCAGCTCTGATGGTGCTGACTGAAACTCCACAATCTTCACCATGTTTCTTTTCCTAAACGTAACCTCAGTAACTTTACATTAATTAGGTAACTTTATGTTAAGGACATAACGTCATTCATGGGCCGCATTTGTAGGACATCAGATAAACTGTTGCGTGTGAATTTTCTCAGGATGTCATACAAACCGCTTGATGATGATATGCTGCTTGACACCTGGGTTACACCTAGGCAGGACGCCATGCTGTCAACCACCGTTCAAGACCAACAAACAACTAAACGGATTGTTTTTTTCCTGGGACATTGTTGTATTTCCAGTGGCTTTATAGCGTTTTATCCATCGTTGTTTTTCCACTGGAGGATAGTGCCACAAAAAGCAGTTGTTGTTTTACTGAGACACTGGCAGTTTCTTCAGCCGTGCATATGCCACCAAAACCAGGGTTTTTGGCTTTTCCTAGCCATAACCAAGCAGTTTTTGTGCCTACATCTAACCACACGTTAACCACAGGGTTGTTGAATCATAAAGAAATGTAAAATTCCATCTGTTCCATCATTTATATGTCCACCACATAATAATGTACAATGTAACATATGTGTGGTTTACCAAAATGTACAATGCAAACATGTTTTCTGGCATCTGGGTTGCTTTCTTGTGGCCAATGAGAGAACCTACATTGTGAAAATAACTTCACTCAGCACTTACATTTCTCCAGCTGGTCCTGCACCACCACGAGGAAGGCGACACATATCATGAAGAGGTTGAAACAGAAACAGACTTCACAGAGTTGACCCACAGCTCCTCCACAAACCTCTCTCACTACATCCTGATACGTCTTCTGTCTGCTGACTGATGAGGCATAGCCAAGGATGACCAAACCACTGATGAGGAAGACCAATGAAACCTGCAGGGCACATACATACAAACAACCATAACTGTACTGTGCTGATAACTGTTTGAACTGCATCTGAATTTTAATATACGTAAATATGCAGGAGGGAGAACACACAGAAAAATGACTCAATTTCTCCTTGGAACACCTTGACCTCTTTGAGTCCTGGGCCAGTTCTAGGAAAGTCAATCCATCGATGACAAACACACACACACTTTTTTTGCTGCAGTGCAGTGAAAGTTCAGGTCCTCACCTAAACTGGAAGCTTCATTAGAGCTCACCTGTGAAAAAGATGTGCCTCTTTCACACCAGAGAGAGACTGCAGGGTGGTGAGTCTATACATACACAGTCTGCAGGCTAACAGCCAAACTAACCCCCCAAAGCCACTGAAGAGTAACATATTTAAAGATATAAGTCAATTTTAAAGTTTATAGTAATCCCATCAAAGTGTGGGTCATACTCATGCAGGGGCCCCTCTGTGCACAACAAGTCTGTAACACTTTTTTCTAAACAATACACTGACAACAGCAGCTGGTAGTCTGAATGTTGCAGGTGTGTGATCCTCACCAGCTCCACACTGACGGCAGTAGTCACTCCCCCCGCCTTCTGGAAAGCCCAGGGGAAGTTGAGCAGTCCGGCTCCCAGCGCAGACTTCAGCATGATGAACACCGCGCCGAACGAGCCGAGCCGCGGCGGGTCCGCGTGAGATGCAGACCGGGCCAGCAGGCTGATGCTCTCCCGGGCCAGTTCCTCCATGACCCTGATCAAAGCTCAATATACCTTTTCAAAAAGACTGTCAACACGACCTACTCTTACAGCGTTGTCCAGGTGTTTGGTTCAGTTCATCCCTCTGAGTTTCTTTACAAGTAGTGGGAAACAATGCAAATATATAGCCTACACCCACGCGTGCATACGACTCACGTGGTCTAATTGGACATTTTGACTATTAGGCATTTCACTGTGAGGTGAGAAATTTGTCACTAAAGTGAGTATGTTTGCTTGTGGTCTCCCTCTGTTTCTCTTTTTAGGTTTGTCTCTGATATTTTTAAAGCTGAAGGAGAAGTAGGACAAGATAACATGGCACAGGAAAGTGCACTTCCCCTGAAAAAACACCAATGGGCATAAAAACATGGGCTCTTAAAGTAAGTAGTATGGCTGGACTAATCTGCCAGGGGGCTGCAGGGCACAAATATGCTGCTGGGTCTCCTGTTACTCCCAGAATGTGTACATTTTTTTTCTTTGCTGGAATACTAAGAAATTATATTGTATTTAAACACGTATAACTTAAGATGGTGAAATAACAAAATGCCTTATAGCTAGATTTTGACATCAGGACCTCAAAATGAAGAAATGAATGGCAGCATAGTGCCCTAATGATTACAGGTCCAGTGTGTAACATTTAGGAGGATTTAGTAGCATCTAGTGGTGAGGATTGCAGATTGCCATCAGCTCTTTCAGGAGGTTTTCCTACTATTGAAATTATCTGCAAAGGTCCCTGACTCTCTGCCAGGTGATTGAAAATGGTAAAAACACTAAATAATCCAGTCTCACCTCACAAAAAAAGTGTTTCTCCTACCCTGTAGCATGTCATGGACAGCCCACTAGCCAAGCACTTGCAAATGTGTGCTCACCTATTTTGTCTGCTGTGAGGATTGCAGATTGCCACATCTCTTTCAGGAGGTTTTAACTGGGAGCTGAATTTTCTGCAGAGGTCTGTTGGTCTCCAAAACAAATGGACCTGGTGATTTAAACCACAAAACACTGAATAAAGCAGTTTGACCTTTAAAAAAATTGTGTTTTTCTGACGCTCATGTCCCGGAGGTGCTGCAAAGTACGCAGGCCAACGCGAAAATGCAAAAATGCAAATGGTCAATCTAGAACCAATGTTTGGTTTGTCCATTCTGGGCTACATGGCAGTGCAACATGGCGATCTCTGTGCACAAGGACCTGCTCCTTATGTAGATATAAATGGCTCATTCTAAGATAAGAAAAACACAGCGATTCTTATTTTCAGGTGAGTAACCACTAAAGAATCATACTTATTATATTATACTCCATTTCTGCTGATACATCCTCCTAAATCCTACACACCGGACCTTTAAGATGCTTACCACATGGCTGCTGCATGTCTCTTCTCTCTCTCTCACAATGTTTCTGTCTGTCTTTATACTTTTAACTGTCAAATGACGGCAAAAATGTGAGCTTAGATCTTTGGTGAAATGTTTGAACCAACCAGTGGCTGTTTACCTAAACACATTAAATATATTACACAGATCATTAGTCATTCTTTACTTCATCAAATAGTACAGGTCGTGTAATGACATATGTTGAGACATGCAGAGAGTATAACTTTAGAGACAAAGGACAATGACTTACAGTGTCTGTATTAATGTAATGAGCAGTAACAAGCTTTAAACCCTTAAATAATGGTTGTGGGTAAACTGTTTTTAGCACTACACTAGCAAATCTTGATCAAATCTGATAAAAAATTAAGCTTAGAATTACGCAAATATAAATTTGGCTTACAGTCTGTATAACATAAGACACCTTCTGTCTGTAGACCCACAATTCAGATGAGGACAAACCCTGCAAAAGACATCTGTAATGGAAATTTAGTGGACTTTATGTCAGTTGTCTAGCTGCTTGTAGACCACAGAGAGATTGGAGTGTGGTCCATTGTTTACTTTTAATTTTTATATCTTTCATATATCATAATAAATGGGGAGTTGGTGTGCAGCGCCGCTTACACTGTTATATTATTAGTTTATATGATGGTAACACACAAAGCCTCAGTCATATGGATTGGACAGCACAATCCACTACACATGGAATTCATAATCCCAGCCATGTTTGATGCTACACACCATCTGTTAGAGTATCGGTCAAAATCCCATGAATACTGTTCTACATCTCACGGTCATTCAGCCATCAGGAGGAATCTTAGGTAAAATAAACTTTTGCTGTATCTTGAACATTTCAACAGCTGGGCACAGAATCTGAGGGCTTTGGGCACCTTAAAAAGATTTCATGGTGATACTGCAGATTTTCTCGAGGGAAATGCAGGACAAAGACAGATTAGAGTGAGCAGGCGCACCGAAGTAGTTTATCCTCCAGATATGTGCCGTTTTCAGCAATATCTCAGGATTTTACTTTAAAGAGGCCCAATCACTTTTTAATTGAGTTAACCAAGATAATGAGGATCACTGTACTTTTTAATAAAAGGATATTGAAGATATGTACCATCAGAAAGAGGGTTTAAAGAATATAAGACCTGACAGTGAGTCCAGAGGAACATCTTTTTGGCAGGTGTGGGAAAAACGACAACATTGTAACTTTCTTTTCATAATTATTTCGTTGGATAGAGTGAAATGCAGTAATTTAATGGCTAATAATTCTTTACGTATATCTTCAGTAATTAGTTGTCTGTAATTATTCCTATTACTGAGGCACCCAGTATCTTACCTGGTTAAGCGGGTGCCCAGTGTACCAAAGCTGCATCCGTACCACAGCAGACAGGGCTCAATTCCAACCTGCGGCTTCCCCCTCACCCCCAAGTTGCCATATCACATTAAAAAGGCAAAAGGACACAAAAAAGTACACACAGCTGTTGTCTGCAGAATTTTACAGTTCTACACAGGTACACTGCCTTAAGATTCCCACTGAAACTACAGTTACACCTTCACATTTGTTCATATTTCATCTGTAAAAATCAGCCCTTGAGTCAGACAGCAAGAACCCCCTCTCTGTCCACGGTGAGCTGCCACATATTGTCGTCATGACCACGTCAGGGTTATGATCTGGTTTTTAAAGATGTAGCCTGTTAGCAAAACTAGATAAAGCCAGAGATTTGTTGACAGGCAGTCTAATTTCAGATCAAAAATGGTATCAGGTACCACACTCGTGTGCAAACTCCAACTGTACTGCAACTGCATAACACTAAAGCTGTAAAAGTGCATGAATCAGCACTATTTAAATCAGCCATTCAACCTGTGAACGTTGGGTTACAGAGGCTGCATGTTGGCATTTAATCAGTGTAACACATGAAACTTTAAGCAGAATATAAAGCAGGCGAGCCACCTGAGGTTTCATTGACTGCTGCAATAACATCTTAAATTCAGCATGCTGCCATAATGAAGTTATTGCCCCTGACCTACAGATGCTTTACCTGCTCAACTCATGTTCAAGTCATAATTTATGACGATGCTGACACAGCAACACACCACACAACCAATTATCATTCACCTCCCACGAACAGCAGTTTTACCCCTGTGCTCTGAGGGCATTAAGACTGTTTTCTAGGGTTTCAAGGTGCAACCTGCTACACTGTGGGGGAATAAAGACAGATGAGATTTATCTAGTCATGATTCTGCTGTTATGAAACAGCTTAAGAGTATTAAGATCATGCACACACACACACACACACACACACACACACATGCAAACACCACTGACACAAAAATCTATGACTTCGAGAAAAGTAGAGTTGTGATTTAAGGAAAGTAACTGTTTGTCAGCAAACCTTTAATTTAAGTTTTTGGGTTTTTTTTGTTGGGTTAAAAATCAGAGTGAAACAAAGAGGCATGTGCCACTCTATACTGCTGTCTACAAAAGAGTATGATGCAAATAACCAAAAATGGAAAATAATATAGTAACTATATTCATAAAGTGAAAACCAGTGAATAAAACGCAGTGCATTATTGCATAACAGCTCAGTATCAAAGAAAAGTTATACAACATCAAATAATATTACAGCAACTGTTAATAAGGATGAAAATTAGGAAACACTTGGGAAACTTCCCGCTCCCTCCACCACTGACTCATGCACTCGTAATTTGTACATATCTATTGTATTATTGTGTCCTATGTGTTTCATTGAGATGCGTGTGCTCTGCTATGTATCCTGTTTAATTGCCCCACAGGGGATGCTTTAAGTTATTAAACCGATAGAAGTAAAACTTTACTGTACATAACAGTTCATAATAGAAAAAGCAACATACAGCTGCTTAAAGAAGGATCAGAAAACCACTGAAAGGGGCCACATGAAATGACACAGAATAAACAAGTGGTGACATTTTGCGACATCATGCACACACTGCAGAGGATTCTCTCACACAGAAATCTAATTCTCTGATATGAAACCGGTCAAACAGGGTGACGAATTAAACTGCACAAAAACACTGTTTTTCACTCTGTAATAATACTCTACTCTGAATCACACCTGATTGGATCACAAGCACATCTGAACACCTGGCACCCGTTCAAATCTCTTTTGTCCGGAAAAAAAAAAAAAAAAAATCATGTGGTATTACTGTAGTGGTGATAAAAAAATAAAGTGTTTACAGCAAACATTAGGTTTTATCTGTAACCTAACTGAGATCTGTCCTCCAGCTAAGTGACTTCAGTGAGTAGGAGAGTCTTTTTCTTCTCTCCTTACATTAACTGTTTGTCACTCCAGCCTATTAAATTTAACTGAACAATACAATTTCTGCCAATATATCCCCCTAAATACTACACATTGGACCTCTCCGTGACACAGCTGATCTGTTACCAGTAATTTACATATTTATATCAGCGTGAAAGCAACTTCTGTGTGAACTTATTTCTGAGAGCCAGGCATGTGATAATCTCAACATCTTATTTGTTTAAAGCCACATGCACCACTTTGCACTAAAATATTTTTTCATTATGTCCAGTTCCCAGGATGGATATGTAATCATGGTGAGCCTGATTTGTAAAGACTGTTTACCCTCATATGTTTGGATCGTAGAGGGAGCAGGACACTGATGACCAGCTGTCTGATTAAAAGACTTAGATGGTTAAACTAACTCCTGAACAGAAGAAGTAAGGTGCTGCATACAGGGATCAATAGTGTGCTGAAGGTAGGGTTGTGCTTGTTTGTTTGCCCTTTAAGTGTTTCCTGGTTGGTCTGGTCAGAGGTGGGAGGGCTTTGGGGTGCAGGCACAGTGCTGGGTGGGAGGGTGGTGAGGCTGGCACACATGTCGTAGAGGTTTCCAGAGAACTGTGTCTTCCTGGACTCTTGTCTAAGAGACTCCCAGACTGCTGCTGCTTCTCCAGGACAGCCGGCCAGAGCTGAGTTGGCACAAACGTGGAATGCGTTCCAGGACCTTCAAGGAACCAGGACACAATGAGATGTCAGTGTAGAAAATGAAAAATGACAAGGTTAGATGGTGACCTCCAGTGATTAAACCCTTCATGTTGCAAGGGCGTCGGTGGCTTAGTGGTAGAGCAGGCGCCCCACACACAAGGCTGGTGCCGCAGCAGCCCGGGCTCGACTCTGGCCTGTGGCCCCCCTGCCGCATGCCACTCCCCCCCCCCACGCTTGTCTGTCCTATACATTAAAGGCTAAAAAGCCCCCCAAAAATATCTTTAAACCCTTCATGTTGCTGCAGTGATGGACAGATACACTGCAGGACCCTGTGACATCACTACTGGGTGTGTCTAAGTCTGATTAAAAACTACTCTTTAAAGTTATAATCCTTAACTTTCTAGCCCTTGTTTATTTGACAGCACCTGTGGTTACTGGTGACAACAGCACAATTATTTTTGACACCAGTGAAGAAGAAGAAGACAGCAAATGTGTGAGAGAGCAGGGCATGACATGCAACTAAGGTCCCTGACTGGAACTAAACCAGTGATATTGTGGTTATGTTGCATCCGCCATCACCATTCAGCTACCAAGGCGCTACAATGGTAATAAACTTTAAACAATACAGGTCCATAGAGAGTCCATTCTGGGGTAGAAAACATGCTGCAGCTATTCTGGTGGAAAAGTAACAGAAGAGGAGCATTGTTCATTGCATCATGTTTTTTTAAGTAGAGAAGAGAATATGATGTGAAAACAGATCCCTGCTGCAAGTGGAAATGACATTAATGATATGGAAGAGCATAAATCAAAACAGTAAAGTTGTGGGCCATAAAACCAAAACAATGAGACTCTATAACCCTCTGTACTGCAGAGTCAGGTGATCTGTGGGTTCATGTTAAATCGATTCTGAATACAACACTCAGGACCCTATGCAAAAGATCTATGGTCAATAGTGAGTGACACAAGTGCATTTAGGGCACGTCTAACCACTTTTGCGTGTTAAATGGCACAAAATCTGGATGCAAAGAAAGGCACAAAGGGCAAAAGGGTTGTATTTAGTCCCTTAATTAATCATAGGTGTGTTTTGGGCATACCAATAAGAGTGTCATCTCCTATTTCCCTTAAAATCCAGGTGCACCTACATCTGGCGATATTAGCATGGCGAATTCAGCAAATTGGATAAGCGAACAATTTTCCAGTGAGAGCAATGCAGTACGAACAGTAATACCACTGCAGCAAATATTGTGGGACATTTCAGTAGCAAAACTAAAAACTGCCCTAATAAACTTGACAAAACTTGAATAAACTTGATATTTATTCACTTTTTATTACTCACTTTTTAGTCACAAGAATGTAATGATCATCAAATGTGTGATTCAGTGCTAAAACCTGAGGCAGAGTTGATGCAATATAAAATCAAGTTAAAAATGAATTTTACAATTCACTGCAATAATCAGTGAAGTTTTGCTGCTCCTTGTGCATAAATGTACACAACACCTGTCTTAAAGGTCCAGTCAGTAGGATTTAGTGGCATCTAGCGGGGAGGTTGCAGACTGGTAACAAACTGGGGGTGATTATAAACTAATGAAAATGTTGTTTGAATATTGTACTCCATTTCTGCTGTTATCCTGCTAAATCCCACATGCTGGAACTTGAATGGAGAGTTTGCTCCAGAGCAGCAGCCGAGAGCAGCTTTTGTCTGCTCTGTTTACTTTTTAGAGATTGTAATTAATATTTTGATCAGTAATGATGTCGGCTATTATTCGCCCACATGCAACCCATCTGCACATCTCTGTGCGTGTAACAAGTTAAGTGTCAGTGTGAGTGTTTTGAGGCCGCCTATGTAGGCGCATCTCACTAATGCGCCCTTATATACTGAGCCATTCTGACTTTGGACCAGGGTTTGGTGGCCAATGGTGCAACCTCTCCTTGCTACGTCAAAATAGTAACACCCCAAAAATGCACCTGACCACACCTCATTTTAACACCTCAGAAACAGAGGAGTCTACAGCTCTGCAAGGCTGCACTCAGTGCCTTGAGCTAAATGCTAATGGCAGCATGCTAACATGCTTTCAGTGACAATGCTAATTTGCTTATGTTTAGGTATAATGTTTATCATATTCACATGTTAGCATGTTAGCATGCTAACATTGGCTAATTAGCTCCAAACAGAAGTACAACTGAGACTGATGGAAATTTCATTAGTTTTACAGGTAAGCCTACTTCATTGTAATCCATCCATTAGCCATTCAGCCATTTCACAAAAATCCAAAAGAGTCAACCTCATATTGGCACGAACAAAAAAAGTCAGGGATTATTATTATGAGTAGGATTCATCTTCTGGGAATCATGAATATCTGTGTAAGATTTCATGGAAAGCCATTGCCAACCGTTGTTGACCAAAGGGGTGAATGGACTGACATCACCATCCCTACCACCAATACCTAATCTTTAGAGCAGCTTTAGGGATTATAATTTAAAAAATTAAAAACACGTTGTATCAAGTCGTTACTGGATGGTTACCACAGTGATGGGAAGACACACCTGCAGATTGCATCAATGTCCTGCGTGCTCTGGTCTTTTTGTGTTTCCACCAAACTGTCTCCAAGTGTTACTAAACACTGAGCAAAACTCTTGTAAATGGAACCACATGAAACAGGAATTGCAGCTCCAAAACACATGGGGACCAGGCCTAGTGGAGAGGAAGAGACAAGAGAACAGTATGATCATGATATTGAGATAATTTTTCATTGAATAATTCAGTGAATGTACATATGCGGACAAATTAGTCATGAGAGAGGAATAAAATCACTACATTCTTCAGGTCAGGGATTTTATCTTGTAGAGTGAAACACAATGTTTATATGCTTATGGAGACATGATCCATCCACTGCTTAGATGGATCAAACAAATACAGAAATATGTTGTATTCCATTCATCTGGAGGGATTATACAGCCTCAAAGCCAAATTCAATGTAGGGCTACAAAAACCTTGTGTGAGCTGTGTGAGTGCATTGATCAGCTCATACATAACACGTCCCTGTGAGCCTGCTTTGAGTTGAGTCACTGAAACGTTCCTGGAAAGGAGTGAATCAAGGTTTACTGGAATATTTCAACACTGATTTGGAAAAGAGGACATTTATGCAATGACCTGATCAACGCATGAGGGTATGGAGGTGTGTTTGAGTTGGTAGATCTTTCCCTTTGAATGGAACAGCTTTGTTGTTGGCGTTGAAGACGCCTGTGGACATATCCAGTTGTCAGCAGACTCAGGTTAAGCTGTTCCAGGGTCAGGGTTTACATGGACATTTGAATATAACACCCCTCTTCAAAATCATGTATCTTAATTTCTTTGAAAATCACAGAACATCTTCAAACTATTGACAAAAGTCATTATTGGTGGCTATCAATACATGTGTGATGATCTTTATCTGACTTCTACCTTTAGTTTGTCTTTAATTCTCTTTGCTTTAGCCAAACTGTTTACACAAGGTTTGTAGCACAGTATTTTAGTGTTTTCAAACATATCACTGTAATGCTGAAGCATGGATATTTCCCTTAACTGTCCAAAGTGTCCGCAACATGGAAAAACAGCCCAAGATCTAAAGGGGACAAGGGTGTCCATATATCAGAGCAACATAAACCAGAGGCCTGCCTACCTTTGCAACCACAAGTAGCACTTACCTGAAAGTCAATCTTGTCTTTGAAATCATTTACTCACCTTAATAGATATACATTTTTGTAATCACTTTAAAATGCCTCTTCTTTATATTAACTTAATATCCTTTTCTTTAACTTCGATGTGACTTTCCCAGTTATTTTTTAGGTTTTATGTGACTGCTGTCCATGCCTCAGAGAGATGTCTTCTTAAGTTTTTGCTTTTGCTGAGCTGCCTCAGGACTTTATTAATTACATATGAATACACATTGTCAAAGATTGTTATGGTTTTTTTTTACTCTTGGTGTATTTGCTTTTTTGTGTCTGTATTACATCGTGGTTGTTAATTTACTGTTTATCCCACAAGTAGCATGATTTTACTGCAATGTAGTTCTCTTCAAAATTCATTGTCATTGTTATAAATCCCTTAATGAAACAGTGTTTCATTCATGAAAAATGTTGCTCTTGTGCAGATTTAATCTTCCCGGAAAAACCAAATGTAAAAATACACTCAAAAACAATAGATGGTAGAATTCACACCTAAATAGCCTACATGATAGGCATCAAATGCATGTACACCCACACACACACACACACAAATGCACATACGCAAACACATGCACACAGGCATGTACGCATGTGCACACACCCACACACATGCAGAAGGAGAGAGAGAGCATTTCATTAAGGTAAGTGCATTTGTAAAACCTGTCTCTCCTCAGTTTCAGAACAAGCTAAATTAAATATCCTTCATCAGCCATCTTAACTACTTCAAGCTTTTTCTGACAAACCTTTAAGTCCTCTGATCAACTTAAGTTTCAAGACAAATGTGAAGACACAACAGGAAAAACTAGTAAAAGAACACAACATAGGACAAGTAAAGGCAAACTCAGCACTTACAAACTTTTCGTCCTGAACACTTGAATGCACCTCATCAATACACTCAGACAATAATTAAAGAAGAATCCTTACTGAGACAGAGAGCGATGGGCAGCAGCATGGTCGCTGCGCCTGGTTGGGACCTCATCATTCGTTCCACAAGTCCTATGGAGCTGAGTCCCACCTCCCTCTGAACCAGAGGCTCTGATGTGAAGCTCCCACTGACTCAAAGTCCAAAGAGTCCAAAGTTGCTGCTTTAAAATGTAATGTGTTTGGCCATCCGTTGGGAATTCATCAGATTGCAAAAGTAAAGCAATGCACAGAGGTACAACCCGGCTGGATTAAGGGACCGATGCATCACACAGAGTAAGAGGATGCTGTGTGTGTGTGCGTGTGTGTGTGTGTGTGTGTGTGTGTGTGCGCGCGCGCTCTCGGGAGGGGCACAAGGCGAGAGCCATGAGAGCTTGGAGGCAGCAGACCAATGACAGCATCACAACACACCACACCGGATTAGAGTGTTCTCATTTCCGGTCTTTAGTGTTTAGAGCATTTATCTGAAACACAAATAAATTAAATATATTATAATTTATTACCATCTCTGCCTTGTTCCCACACTTTTGTCCACCATAAAACCCTGATTTTACTGTTGAAAAGGGAGTTTGTCACAAATGATAATAGAAGGAAACATGATCAGAAGTGTCAGGAGGATTTTTTTTTTCATGTGAACAGATGGATGACATCCCACTGAGGATAGGAGAATCCAGCTCACCTGGGAGTCCAACACAGACGCAGGGCGCCCTCTGAGAATAGTAGCAACCCATGTGAGAATGAATCATCCGCGCTGTATATCTTTTAACACTCTGAACTAAAGATTAGGCAACAGAGATTTGCACCATGTTTTTAGATGGCTCATTGTAAACCATCTACCTTATTCCCAATTTCCTACTTGAGTGTTTGTCTTACATCCCCCTCCTCTTCCTCTTGGCCTCCAAATCCTCTGCCATGCCCCCCAGATGGCTCACACTCCGTGCATTAGTATAAGTCCCGGTTCACATCTGTATACTGACACAGGAGGAATGGTAACCCATTGTTAATCTGCAGCTTAAAACAACCATTAACTGCAGAATAATCTGTCTGTATCTGAAGCTGCTGCTCCAAATCAATACATCATGTGAACTTTGGCTTCAATTCCAGCTGTATATGTCCCGAAAACATCTGCTTTTTTTTTTCAATCTTACCTTGGAGATGTGCATTCAACATGGGTGGATGTGTCTGTTGAAGTCATTCCATGGTTTAGCTCTCAGGACTTTTCTTGTTGTTACATGTTGAAGCCTCAGGCGAAGGTGCTGTGTGCTATTCTGGGGCTGTTTTTCATTGTTTGGACCATAACAGAAGTTTAAATTAAGATCAATCATAATGCAGCAGTGTACAGTGATACTTTAGGTAATATAGTGTTACCAACTTTGTGTCCAATATCCAACATTTTTTCTGTTTTAATTTGAAATCCATGAGGAGATCCATTAAGAAATGGTTTTCCCAGTTTGCTGTGGAAGAGCTGATCTGCACAGAACCTTGACCTGAACCCCATCCAACACCTATGAGATGTACTGGAGCACTAACTGTGAGCCAGGCCTCATATCCCAGCATCAGTGGCTGAACTAACTGATGCTCTTGTGAATCAAGTGTTCACATACCTGTGTTGCCAGAAAAAGCTGTTGGTATTGTATGTTTCTGAAAAAAATGGGTACTTTATATTTTCATGTTTCACACTTATATCATATCAACATTTATAAATTGATGCAGTTCTGATCACATACATGGCACCAAAACCCAGAACTTTAAGCCAAAACATGATCTTTTCCCAAACATAATCATGTCGCAAATCAGCCTGTAAAAGTAATGTCTGTCACTCTGAAGAGCGTGATCCATCTGCACTGTTATGCTTTGTAACAGGAGTGGTGTTATCTCATTGTCCCTGTTATGTCCATGTATATTTTACTGCAGCTGAAGTATTAAATTTGTCAGCTGTGTGTCAGAGTGCCCAGATACACACAGATGTGTGAAGTGTTGCATTTATTGTCCTCCTTCAAGGAACATCTCCTAGTACAACCAGCGGCTTTTTTTCCTGGTGAAATCATTGCACGAGTAGATCCCAGTAGGACCTATTGTGACACTAGAGTTCTCTGTGAATTGTTCTCCACTGAGCCCAATTCCTCACTGCTGTCTGATAATTTCACTCACATTTTTTCTTGGACCATAGTGCCATTCTTCTGCTCAAAACAGTGTCATCTGCAGAAACATTGTTATATAGACAGTTCATGCTAAATGTATGATCCAAAATCCAGTTGGAGAGACAGAAACAACATATTTTGGTCAGTCAGGTTTATCAGTAACCAATTTTAATGGTAAAAAGGGTGGTAAAAGACAGGAAATGTAGATATTTTCTATTAGCACTCTCTATGCTCTCTTGGTTTGAGTGTTGTTTGATTTTTTTGGTACCAATGCCCAAACAATACACTTTGAAATATATTAATATATTTTTCTACTGTACGTTATCATTCATTTAAAGAAATTAGGCAAAGTTTTTGATTGTTAAGTGTTGCATATTTAATGCATTGGCGACCCTCAGAAAGTCTTCATAGGGGTGTGCAAATGGAGCCACTAAAAAATCTTTGGATGGTGCACCAAAACTGAAAGAAATTAACATAAAAAAAACAAGCACTGTGACAGACTGAGGAGTCAAATGTTTCCATCCACTAAAAGCTTTAGGTGGTCAGTTTAACAGACAGATATCTTAAATTGCACAGGGCAGTTGTACACTGGTCCATGTTCAACATTTTCAAAATATAACTAGCAATATGTCATTCTACTCAGCCCATGTGTTAGCAAAATACCATGAATGATAGGCCCAAGAGATTTTATATAATCGTAACCCTTTTTTTTCCCAGGCACAGATACACAGTGTGTGCCTGATGTCAGACACTGGAACACATTGTTTTACTTCCCTCACATTACATAATTACTCTTAAATGATGAGACGGTCTGAAATGAGAAGCTGTTGTCTGGACTGAATGTAAAGGCGGCTGTGGTAAACGGCAGCAGCCATAGAAAAGGAAGATAGAGTTGTGTAAGTTTGATTGACAGCGCTGGATTAAGGCATTATGCAACACTGTTGGGAGTAAAAAAAAAAAACAAACAAAATAAATCCAGATGAGATTAGGATCTAGATCCTCACTCTCTGTCTATCCATTCATCTGTCTCTCCCTCTCTCTCTGTTTCATGTGACACATCAACACGGCAGGTGTTCAAAATGACGGATTTTAAGTTTGGGGTTGAATGACTGCATTTACAGCTCTACAGTCACACTCAGATGTTCGGCTCTTCACAGCTTTAATATAAGTAACAATTAGGCAAATGACCATCCAAGCTGCAGACACACACATGGACAGATAAAGTAGATTAGACCATATAGACAGGAGCTACACTGTAAACCCCTGCAATTCAAGCTGTTATGCCATCGCCATCTAGAGGGTGAAAATCATGCTACAGCATCTGACAGATTTTAAGGTCAGATCTGCTATTAACCTCTGAAAAAGGCAAGTAAATAAACAAACTTCATACCATACACTGTAGTGGTCCACTCACAGTAAGGATAGTGCTGAAATAATTAGTCAAGATGATCAACACAGAATGAATCCATATGTTTTCTGACACACAATTACCTGTTGTATGTGATTTATGATGTAAAAATAACACAATTTGCTTGATGTGGTTTCTCAAATATGACAATTTGCTGCTTTTAACACTGCTTATCATTTTGTTTTTAGACTGTTGACTGAAAGAAGCGGTCTGGGGATATCCCCTGGCAAACTGTAAGGGACACTTTAAATTGCTTTGGGATATTTTATGACCAAACCAATTCATTCATTATTCTGCAATAGTAATCTCCGCAGGAATCCACTGTAAAGCTAATTTTGAAGGTATACTGGGCCAGATTTTCCTAAAAAACAATGTATATACAGAAGTAATCCCTCTCAATTATCACTTATGACCTGCTAGAAGTGTGTAGAGGTGTATATTTCTGCAGAGACTCTGTCCTCTGCCTACACTTTCTTATTTTCTGTGCATGGTATGTTTATGGGACTGAACCCCCACAGCGCTCAGGTGAGGTCGGAGCTTTATAAAAAGGTAGTGACCAGGTGTCAGACAGGCAACCAAGAGAAAATCCTCCTGAGACTCTGTGTCCTCATTAGACATTAGATTTTAGGTTTACTTGACCTTATAGTTCATTCTGCTTAACTTAGACCTGTTGTCCTCATTCGTGGACACTTCTTGTGCCATTTAGTGGTTGTAAGAGCACAATAAAATAATCCATGTAAAAACAAGATGGCAGCCATTGCTGCCAAGTCAGTCTGCAGCTGATCCCGACACAAAAGTCGATGGGGCCCAAAACCTGTTCACATTTTATGGTTGAAACATGTTTATTTATGATTAATAATGTTTGTAGTTTCACATGGCAACACATTTGACCAATTTTAGCAACATTAACAAACTAAGACACTGTTAATTAGTAAGTACTCGTTTGAAGACATTGGGACTTTATTATCTTTGACAATGTTTAGTTTTTTATACTTATCGGGTCCTACTGATCCCAAATAGCTAGGAGAAATTAAAAATGCATACCAAACGAAAGTTCGTGTCTCAGGAGGATATGGCGAGGCGAAACGCCAAACCAGAGTGAATCTAGGGTTGGCTTTTACTTTCACTGGCAACAACAATCCTGTGTAGTATACCTTTAAATTACAATCATCACTGAAACTCAAAGAGGAGTATATGTATCTTTTGTTGTGTCTCAAGAAGTAACCCCAAATAATTCCAAGATGATTCGGAGAGAACAGCTAAAATGATGAGTTGCACATTTCATCACATCTATCACATGCATCTTAATGATGTCACCATCTTAAAACAGAGTAAATGCTGAGTGAGGCTCAGTCCGCCCCCAACAGGAGTAGAAAACATGGCATCAGCGCTGTCTTTTAATGTTTGAGTTTATGTTCCATTCCCATCACAAGTGTTTATGATTGAGGATTTGAGATGATGCAAATTTTTATTACATTTTCCAAAACTCAACACATCTGATGATGAAAAAATATACTTAAGCTTAAGTCACTAGAAATCCAACACTTCTTTGCACCTAAAAAATCAAAACAAGAGCCCTTAGCAGGTGACTGTGACCCATGCGGGCTGACCTCAGACCCCTCAACTTAAAGGTAAAAGCAATAAAAAAAATGCTCCAGGACCTTCGGACCCACTGCTGTGCTACTTTGACATTTGAAATAATCAGGACACACTTCATAAATTAAGAAAACACTCATCATAAATCAGCAC